CTGCTGATCCAAATTTGTGGACACTGGGTTTCCTTTACAAAGTAAACTTTGGGGATGTTATTCCCGTCCTTAAACTCAAGGAGAGGATACTGGCAGGAGGAGATTCCTCATGGCTGTTCTGTGCTTTTGCAGAAAATGCTCTGAACGTGACCTGGACAACACCTGCCGGAACTAAACCTGCCCAAAGCAACTCCCCCTTCAGCCAGGGCCTGTTTGTGGTGAGCAGGGCAGCCGTGCAAGGCATGGGCTCGGAGAGCAGCGCTTTGAAGAGCTACAGCCTGGAGGAGCCGCCGGTGACGCTGCGCAGCGGGAGCACCATCCACCCGGCCGTGCTGCAGGATGGCACCCGCGCCTCCGTCTTCGTGTACCGCAGGGACAGCCAGGACAAGGTCAACAAAGCTGCCAAGGTACTGCCCCCGCCCGGGACACGCTGGCCCTCCTGCTGTGGGCAGGATGGGAGCCGCTTAATGGGTCAGACCCTTGGCAGTGAGGGCAGGGGGAAAGTGGAAGCCAGCCTGGCCACGGGGCAGAAGGGGTTGGCAGCTGGAGAGGTCACTGTTGCTGCATGCAGCAGTTCAGACAATGCAGTGTTCAGGCAGCAGTGTTCAGACAATGCAATGTTCAACCAGAAATGTTCAGACACCCCTTGCAAGGTGCTGCCTCCTCCTGCAGATGCAAGTCAGGGTCTTTCTTGGGTGAAACCTGCCCAAAATACCGTATTTATTATAAATAAGGCTTTTATTCTGTGTAAGATGTTCTCCATCCAGTGCCAGCAGGGAGCTTACAAGACAGATGGAGGGAAAAGAACATGTATTGACAGAACAAGGGGAGATGGCTTCAAACTGAGAGAGTAGGTTTAGATTGGATATAGGGGAGGAAATTCTTTGTGAGGGAGGTGAGGCCCTGGCACAGGCTGCCCACAGAGAAGCTGTGGCTGCCCCTGGATCCCTGGAAGTGTCAAGGCCAGGTTGGGCAGGGCTTGGGTAAACCTGGGCTCGTGGAAGGTGTCCCTGCCCATGGGAGGGGGATGGAACAAGATGACCTTTAAGGTCCTGCCAACCCAGACCATTCTATGATTCTGTTTCATGGTATTATAAAAAGTTCTGCAGTCTGAGCGAGGAAGTTTGCTGGGAGCAGGGTGAGGAGCAGGGATGGGCTGTCTGAATTCCATGAGAAGACATGGCTAAGGGGGCAGGACTAAGCTCACACCCGCAGGGGCTGCCTCAGAGGAGCTCTAACAGACACTTGTTCCCTGAAGCACCTGAAAACCTTGCGGCACCCTTGCCTCCTGCGCTTCCTCTCCTGCACCGTGGAAGCCAACGGGATCCACCTGGTCACGGAGCGGGTGAAGCCCTTGGAGATGGTCCTGGAGATGCTCTCTGCTGCAGAAATCTGTGCAGGCATCTACGATGTGTTGCTGGCACTCATCTTCCTCCATGACAGGGTAGGTACCCCTGGCAGCATCAGCAGGCTCTGCTGGGAATGGGGGAAGTGTGACAGGAGAGGGTTGTACCTGGGTCGTGTGTTTGTGGGGTTCCCAGACAAAGGCAGGAATGATACATCTGACTCCATGTTCTTAGAAGGCTAATTTATTATTTTATGATCTATATTATATTAAAGAATACTAAACTAAACTATACTAAAGAATACAGAAAGGATACTTACAGAATGCTAAAAAGATAATCATGGAAACTCGTTACTCTCTCCAGAGTCTGACACAGCCTGGCCCTGATTGGCCAGTAAGTCAAAATAATTCACATGAAAACAATGAAACAATCTCCAACCACATTCCAAAGCAGCAAAGCACAGGAGAAACAAATGAGATAATATTGTTTTCCTTTTTCTCTGAGGCTTCTCAGCTTCCCAGGAGAGGAATCCTGGCAAAGGGATTTTTCCAGAAAATAGGACAGTGGCACCTGGGCTTGTCTGGGTGACTCACTGCTGATTCCTCCCAAAAAAGACAGACATGTGCCCCACAGTTCTTGCAGGCTGAAACTGCTGAACTTGCCTGCTTTGGAGGAGAAGGGGTAATTGAAAATGTTGTGGAAATGAGGGAACAAGCAGTTCTCAGTTCATGGATCTGCTTGGAGTACTTCTTCCTTTAGGGAACTGGGATTGCTTGGCCTTGGTGTTTGTGTACAGCTGTTGTCCCATGCCAAGAGATTGGTGTCACTGCTGTCCTGTGTGGGCAGTGTGTTTGCCCAGGAGTGCAGGTAAATCCCAGCTCAGACTGTAGCTCTGGGTTTTTGTGTTCACAGTTGGAGAAATTCCCTGGATTTACAGTTGCATTGCAGGGACTGTGACAATTAGGGCTTTGTCTGCTCCGGCCCTCCTGCCTGGCACCTGCTGGTCACCTACAAAGTCCCACAGGAACTGTATGGGTTTTGGGCAGCTTTCCCTCCATCCCCTGCAGTACCTAATTAGTGCTGATTATGATTCTACATCTTCACCTCTCCCCCAAGTCAGTTACCCTTTTTTTTGGCTTTTATGTTTTAGGGAAACCTAACTCATAACAACGTCTGTTTGTCATCTGTGTTTGTGAGTGAGGATGGGCACTGGAAGCTGGGAGGAATGGAAACAGTCTGTAAATTCAGTGAAGCCACCCCAGAGGTAAGAGCCAAGCCAAGTGCACCCTGGATGCCCAGGGGAGGATTCCTGGCCTGTGGAATCTGGCCATCTGTGCCTGTGAAGGCCCAAGTCCTTCCACTTAGCTGGATTTGCTATTAAATGTGTTGGCTCACTTCCAGCTCTGTCCTGGATCTTTGCTCTGAGGACACCATTGCTATAAACTAAAATGTCCACACAAATTAATTCTCCATTAGCCAAAACACAGCTGCTTTTCTAAGGGACACTGCTGGCTGGAGAGTGAGAAATTTTGGCCTTCTGGACTGATATAAAAATTTAAAAAGAGTAGGAAGATTCAGGTCAAAACGAGCCATTAAGGAAAATAATTTAAATGCCTCCTTAGCTTGCGTTGGTGGCATTTTCACTGCTTGGTAGCAGAAAGAACAATTCCTGTTTTGATTTCTGCTGCCTGCTGTGCAGAGTTAGGCACAGCCTGCCCTGGGTGCCAGCAGAAGGGGCAGGGGCACAGCCTGCCCTGCTGCCTGGCACTGAGGGGACAGGGAGGCACTCACAGCCCCTCTTGTCCTTGCAGTTCCTGCGTCACGTGCGGTCGGTGCGAGACCAGTCGTGCATCCCCTGCGAGGAGATGGTGAGTGACAGCTCAGGGGCTCCCTGCTGCCAGCAGAGAAATCCTGGTGGTCAGGAAATATTTTACATTCATGTTGTATTTCCTCATGCATGGAAATGGCTCTTGGATAATAGCTGAGGTTTCCTTTTGTCCCTCTGTCCCACCCCTGCTTTGGGAATGGTGTTGGGCACAGGTAATGCTGCTTTTCAAACTCTTTGTGCTGCTTCTAAATCGCCAAAGTTTTGCAAAAATCAGAGAAGCTGCTGACAGTGTCCAGATCACTGTGGTCCCGTGGTTGTGTAACTCAGCACAGCCTTTTCCCTACCTGTTAGTCACTTCCTAGCCATTGAGAATCCTTGGAGCTGCTTGTGCTGAAGGAGCACGCTTCTGCTCTCTAATTACTGCCTGTTTCCATAGAAATGCTGAAAGCTGTTGACTGCCTGCATTCATCAGGGAGTTGTTTCATCATGATGGAGTTGCTCCTTTGGGTTATAAATTCCCCCGTGGAGATTTTTTTAGCATAATATTCTACTTGTAGGGTACACAGTAGAGCTTTGGAGCTATAAAAAGAACTAGAGAGTGTATATGGTGGGGGGTGGGAAAAAAGACTTATGGAAAACACCACTTATTTCATAAGCTCCTGCTTTGCTGGGCTTTTTTTGTTTTGTTTTCAGTCTGCAGACTTCAAAATCCTGCCCAGCAGCTACGGGCATGCGAGGGACGCCTACGCCTTTGGGACAACAGTTGAGAATCTCCTGACAGTTCTCAATGATCAGGGTGAGAATGACACTGGTTTATTTTCCTGGTGACAGGCCCTGTGGTTCACTTCCACCTGCTCTGCAGCTGCCAGGAGTGTTGTGGGCTCAGTGGCCAGTGTTGTTCCTTGTTTGCAGACTTTTTGTCCTGTGTTCCCCCTTTCCTGTGGGGACGTGGTCAGATGTGGCTGGAGGTCACCAGCCCGTGTGACAAGGGCACTCCCAAACCTGCTCTGGTCCTGCCAAGGGTTATGCATGTGGCAGGTGGGTCTTGAGAGCCAGAGCTGAGCAGGGGCTGCCACTTCCGGCAGAGAGGCAGCAGAAGTTTCTTGGGAGAGCAGTAGCACTCCTTGGAGCCCCAGTAGCCAAGCAGGTTAAGAAGTTAGGAAATGGAAATGCTATTTTCCCCCTCCTTTTGCAATTTTGCTAAAAATAAGTTTTTGGGGGTGAGGGTGGAGGAGCCCTGAATGTATCTTGTTCAGTGTGGAGAGAGAAGTCTAACTGTAGGTGCTCTGGATTTCAGTTTCAGCAGATATTCTCTCCAGCTTTCAGCAAACCTTGCACAGTACACTGCTGAATCCAGACCCCAAGTGCCGCCCACCACTGTCCAGCCTGTTGTCACATGAGTTCTTCAGGTAAGGACAGGAGTATCAGGCCTCTCTTGGTCTTGATACTGCTTTGGAGGTGGGATGGGAGTGCAGACTTAATCCCTGCCTCTTGCAGGGATCCTTCACCAAGAGGCTCCTTGAATTAAGGTGTTAGCAGCCCTCCCAAAGGAGTGCTGAGCAGCAGCCTTCAGCTGTCACCTCCTTGCTGGCACTCTTGATCACCAGCATTTCACTTGGTCCCTCTGTCTCTTCTCTCTGCTAAAGGAGTGGTGGGGGTTGCAGTCTCTTCACAGTGGGTGTTTAAGCATCAATAAGGATTACCCTTGACAGCTTTTGGTTTTGTGCTTAGGAATGATTTTCTGGAAGTTGTGAATTTTCTGAAGACCTTAACACTAAAGTCTGAAGAGGAGAAAACTGAATTTTTCAAGTAAGTGAAGGAACTGTAATGTGGAAGCTTCTTGTTTCAGCACACTTCTGCAAATGGATTGTGGGTGACCTGGGAAGGCTCCTGGCCAGAGGTGCTTCCCCAGGTGGCAGATTTGGTGGCTTTGGCACAACATTGTTCACTCTGTGACATTTTGTGTACTCCAGCCAAAGTAAGAGCCCTGTCAAAGAGGAAACTCTGCACCTCTTGCTTCCCAGTTCCTTGTGACTGGTTTGGTGTTTGGGAGGAGCAGTCCCTGCTGGGCTCTGCATCTTCCTGATGCTCCCCAGCCTCCAGAGGGATGCAGCAGCCACTGAGAGTTTGCAGTAAGACTTGCTGGGTGAATTAATCATGTGGTGCCAAGATAAAGCTGTTGCTGTAATGGATGTCTCAGCTGCAGTAGTGGAACATCTTGCAGTAAATCCCACTGCTGTGGTCCCCAAGAATATTTCTGTGAGGGAATTTTCTGTGTAATCATGGCATTATCTACGCCTGAAAAGGGGAGAAGCTGATTTTTAATTTTTCCATATAAAAGAGCCTTGGTGTTCTCACCAGAGCTGTTTTCCTGCCTATTTTATACATCAGTTATTTTTAATTAGTTTGAGGTTTAAGTGGAGAAGTAAGAGGAGAATGGGGATCCTTAGCAGGAACATTCAGAGTGTTTCTCACTATCTCTGTGTCAGCAGTGTTTTCTGAGGGAGGGGATGAAGACTTTGCTTAAAGAGAGGGGAGTGCTGCCCTTCCAACAGGCAGAGGGGCCTTCCCAGCATGTGCACCCTTCTCTTGGTCTCCTCCAAACATAGAGAGACAGCAGTAACTGATATTTAATATTTTAAAAATTAAAATCTGACAGACAAAAGCAGTTACACAAAATTAAACCCTGATAAACCCAATCTGTTGGCCTCATTAGATGGAAGTGGTTTCAAAGGGGGATTCCCTTTGTGCAAGGGAAACTTCCCTTTTGTGGTAGGTAGAACAGCCTTTTCCAAAGCAGCAGGAAAATCCTTGCAATGGTCCAGAGTGTGGAGTGAGAGGAGAACTCTCTGCTGCAGGTTTGACTGTAGCTCTTCACAGGAGATGCCAGCAGCTCTGAGGCAGTTTGATGCCCCAGCAGCTCCCTGTGCCAGCTGGATGTGCTTGTGCCAGCCCCTGATCTGGGTGTTTCAGGATGTGGTTCTGGCTCCTGGTTTGTGCTGTCCTCAGGCAGGAGCAGAGGCTTCTCTCTGGGTCAGAATGCAGACAGAGAGAGGCTGCAGTGGGACACCGACTCTGGATGAGTCAGACACAAAAAGGGGAAGATGATTTTAAGGGAAACAGGCACAAATGCATGGAAGGCTGCCTTGATACTAATTGCTGTCTCCTGGAATGCAGATTCCTGCTGGACAGGGTGGCTGGCTTGTCAGAGGAGCTGATAGCATCACGGCTGGTGCCTCTCCTGCTCAATCAGCTCGTGTTTGCAGAACCTGTGGCTGTCAAGAGTTTTCTTCCTCATCTGCTGGGCCCAAAGAAAGGTGACCTTTAAATACTTCCTCATCACAATTATTCCTGACAAGTTTGGAATGAGTTCAGAGTGGTTGTTTCATTGAATCAAGGGAATAGTGGTGTTTCCCCAAGCAAAACAAATGCTCTAACAGACAGAACTGGAAAGGACAGTTATCTGTGCTTCCCCCTTTGCACTGCTCTGCTGGTGCTGGGAGGAGAATTAGCAATGATCCTGGTGTCACCACTCAGTAGCTCCTGGGTGAGCTGTCTGCTGGGTGAAGCAGCCTTTTCCCATCCTCACCTCTGTTCCCTAGAGCAAAGTGGGGAGAGCCAGACCAGCTGCCTGCTGTCACCAGCCCTGTTCCAGGCCCACGTGATCCCTGTGCTGCTGAAGCTCTTCGAGGTGCACGAGGAGCACGTGAGGATGGTGCTGCTGTCTCACATCCACGCCTACGCCGAGCTGTTCTCTCGGGAGGAGCTGAAGAACATCATACTGCCACAGGTTGGGCACAGCACACCTCTGGGATGTGGCATTTCACAGAACCACTGAGTGGTTTGGGTTGGAAGGACTTGAAGGGCCATCTAATCTAATCTAATCTAACCTAACCACCTTCCACTAGACCAGGCTGCTCAGAGCCCCATTCACCCACCTACTTAATTGGTAACACAAAATGGAAGGCTGATTTTAGGCTATGAAACAACATCCAGTCTCTGCTGAGAGCTGTAGGGGATTAGAAATGAGATGTGCTGCAAAAGTAACGCTTTGAGAGGCAAGCAGTGCACAAGCAGAGTTTTGTGCTGTGCTGACATCAGTGTTGTTGGTGCAGGTGTTGCTGGGCCTGCGGGACACCAGTGACTCCATCGTGGCCATAACCCTGCACAGCCTGGCTGTCCTCGTCTCCCTGCTTGGGCCTGAAGTGGTTGTAGGTGGAGAAAGAACAAAGATCTTCAAAAGCTCTGCTCCAAGTTTCATGAAAACTGCTGATCTCTCCCCAGAAGGTAAAAGATACAGTCAGAGTGCTCTTAGGATGCTCACCTGTTCTGTCCAAGCAGTGTAGGCAGAATTTCTTGGATTATTCATCTGTTCCTGTTAACAGGTTAATCAAAAAAAAAGCTAATTTGCAGCCAAACTTGGATTTTAAGTTAGGTGCTATTTGCAGATATAGAAGTGATATCAGAAGAAGAGTTATATAAAGTATTTTAAAAACACCAAAGATATTGGGAAAAATTGAAACTTCTTCATTTAAGAATCCCTGTAAGTAAAGCAGATAGTGTGTGTTTGTGTCTTCTGTGGAAAAACTGAATTTCCTTTCTGAAGGACTTACATAGGTAGTTATTTCATATTCCCTCTGTCTTTTCTGTTCTTAAAACCAGTAAATCTCATGTTCTTCCCCCAATTTCTATTCATAGATTGGAAAAGGAATACGAACTTCCCTATTTTATCAGCTCTCTGGAGGCTTTTCAGCTAATGCAAGTGAAGACAGTAGCCCCTGCACCTGCTAGATAACTTGGAGCCAAGTGTGCTAAGGGAAAGCTTCTCTGGATATTGAAACTAAGAATGTTTATAACAAGGGGAAAGTCAGCATCTGTGCAACTTTAGACATAGAGATACTAAATGAAATACATGACAGAGATCAGTTTAAGTGCTTGCTTCCTGTTTGTGTGTGTATGGCAGCTACCACCCTTCATTAAAATCCGTGGATGGCTCACTGCATTAGTTTCTTCACATTATTTACTTTAGTAGACTGTAGTAAATAAACCACTTTGGGTCACAGGCTGAAACCAGGTTTATTTTTCAGAATATACTTAAAATTAGATGTGATTTAACTATTGATAAACAACAAAAACCCCACCTTTGTCCCCAGCAGTGAGTGATGATCTGCAAAAAGCAACACAGGAGGCTGAGCATGTGATGCTTAACGAGCTGTTTGCTCAAGGCCCTCAAAGGATGTGCCCTTAATGAAGGGCACTGGGGAAGGGGGTGGATTCTGTGTTCCTTGCACTCCTCTCCATGGGCCACGTGTGTCTGGTGATCCCTAGCCTAGGCAGGCACAGCTGCCTGGGAACACACACGAGCCCTGTGGAAGGAAGTGCAGCACTGGCCCAAACGGTGCCATTTTGAAGTGGTGGCAACAGGGTCCCACACAGCTGAGGCTGGTGTTGGCAAATCACCTCTGATCATACCCTGCAGCTCCCAAAAACGATCTGCCACCACGTGCTTGCCAAGCTGGCATGGCTGAGCCAGGGAAATTCAGCTGCCTTGGGCAGCTCCAAAGCATGGCCTGGACTGCCCACCACCTACCTCACCTCAGGCTGGGACATGAGGGCAGCTGGCAGTCAGTGTTCAGAGTGGAGACTCTCATTCCAGGAAGCTGCTGTGCCCATGCCCAGGCATGGAGAGGGTTTGTGTAGTGTCCTGAGTTATGTTTGGAATTGCTGTGAGCGAGTGCAGTGCTGTTGTATAAGGCAGGTCCCAGGGGATTTGTGATGCACTTGGGATTTTGGATCCAGCCAGGTGGCAAACAGCATTTTTAAAGCATCTGCTCTGATCAGTTTATTCATTGTGTGTTTCTTGAAAGAACATCTCAGCAAAGCTGACCATTTACAGTTGCCATAACTTTGTACTGGCAAGAGCTGCAGGCAGCAGGAACAGAGGGGTATTGTGTTATATATGGATCAGGGGTGCAGCTGTTGGATTGCTGTGCCAGGCCTCAGTGCTGTTCAAAAAGAACATTCCAGTGCTGCAGGCAGTTCAGCTCAGACTGACAGCTCACCTTGTGGACTTGTGTCCTTTCTTTCCCTTTATCCTGGCAGGTTCCCCCAGTCATGGCATGATCAATCAGAGAAACCAAACCTCTCAGCCCCTGAAGAGCAGTCCCAGCTCGTTCTCCAGCTCTGCAAATGCACCTGGAAAAAACCTTCCTGTGCCACAGGACAATCCCCTGGCTTCACAGACAGGTAAAACGTGCCCTGGTGCTTCCTTTCAGAAATCAAGTGTTCACCAAGGAAGTGTTCCTTGAAAGGTGTGCCCCCATGTGCTGATCTGAAAGAGTTAGTGAACCACAGAAGACAACAGTGAAGGAGGGGGGGTGTGATCCTTAACATCTGAGGGAAAAGCAGTTTGGGAAGCTGACATACACAGACTGGGGGCCTGGACTTGAATTTGCTTTCTTATGGCACATTCTGTGCTGTGCTTTCAGCCCCCACAGCTCAGCAGCTACTCTGCATTTCCAGGGCAGCTCATTCTGACAGTTAGAGCTGATTCTGTTTCCTTCTGATTCTGTTTCCTTCCATGGCCTTTCTCTTGCTTACCAGCAATCAGCTCCTATTGCCCCAGGGCTCTGAGGTGAATTCCCTCCTTTGCAAGCAGGAAGGTGTCCCTGCTTTCTAACCCAAGAGGAGCTTTCTTTCCCATCAATTACTGGCTTGTTCCCGTGCCAGGTGGTGCCTGTAATGTCAAGAAGTCATAACTCTATCTCTGCCTGCAGTTGCTGTCTTGTGTGTAACATCTTTGTCTTGCACAGGTGAGCAGGGCACTCAGGCCCCCCTGAATGGAATTCCTGGAAGCACTGATGCACTGGGGAGCAGCAGGAGCTCTTTGACTACCTCGGAAAAGCCAGCAGAGGAGTGGCCAGACTGGAGTGAGCCAGAGGAAGCAGACACTGAGAAAACTGTGAACATTGAAATCCAGCCCCGGGAGCTGCGGGGCAGCACGGGACCTTATTTTGCTGATCATGATTTGGATGAGAAGCCTTGGGATGACTTTGAAGCCAGGAGCCCCAGTCATAAACTGTCCTCAGGAAACTGCCCCACTGTGACACAGGCTGATGCAGCTGAAAGGTCTCTGCCAGGTACCCATCAACTGAGCAAAGAATTCAACAGCCTCACACTGAGTGCCCCCACAAAGCCTTGCCACGGGAACAGCTGGAGCAATGCCAAGTGGGACCAGGAGGAACAACTGGGAGAAACTGTGTTGCCAAAAACCTTTCAGGAAAGGCTGAAGTCTTCATCAGAGTCTGGCCTGGGAGAAGAATTCACGATCAAAGTGAAGAGGAAACCAGTGCAAGACCCAGAGCTGGACTGGTTTGCTGACATGATCCCAGACATTAAACCTTCTTCCTCCCTCTTGATTTTACCTGAGGCAAGGACAGAAGCAGTTATTCCCACTCACTCAGGTGGGGTGTCCAGCAGAGAAGGGACCTCCCAGCCTGTGCTGTTCTCATCCAAATTTGCAGCAGCTGATGTGATTGAGGTAAGAGGCTCGAGGTTTAGGTGACTGCAGCCCTGAGAGGCTCCTCAGCATCTTAGCAGGCACAGGTGCTGCAGTGGGCACTTGATACAGCAAAGAGAGTCTGTCAGGAAATGGAATGGACTCCATTTGTACTCTACACAAGCACTCAGGAGTTTTAGCTCCAGCTTTTACTCTCTGCTGCTCTATCCTGGAATCCTGTGATTTGTTAAGGAGAGTTTTGGTGTGTCAAGACAGGTAAAACAGGCTGGATCCTGGCTGCTGAACAGATGTGGTCCCATCCACAAACAGAAGGGGCTTTGAGGCACAGAGGGTGCTCAGGACTGAAGTGTTTTTCCTGACTCTTCTAGCAAAACATACTGGCATTGTAAATTAAGGTCTAGGAAACCTGAACCTCTGGATTACAGAGTAAAGATTTTTGAGTGTGTTGTTTTCATGAAAGAATAGCTGAAACATTTCTCTATTTCAGAGACACAGGGGGTCACAAAACTGGAGTTTCTTTAAGCAGATAAATCCCTGTAGCCCAATCAGGGAGACTCCAAAGACCATTGTTGTTTCCTAGGAGGGGAGGCAGCATTCCCACTTGAACATGTAACTCCCTTGGGAACAGGTGTTGACTTCAAGTTGTTTTGCTCATTCAGCCTCAAGAGAGCTACCCCAGGGACAGCAGGGAGCATGGGGAGAGGAGCCTGGGCTGTAAACTGAAGTTGTTTATCACATTTGCAAGTGGCACAGTGTCCTGTCACTGTCATGACCCCAACCCCATTTTGGGGGGAAGGAGTGAGTTCTGTGTCAGTGGGGAGATCAAACTTAGTGTTAGAATACAATGAGAAAACAGCTCTTTCCTTGGGGAAAGAAATCATCTCATGTATGACATCCTTTTTTTAATGGAAAAAAGTGGGTTTGATACAAACAGTAAGGAAAAAAAAGTAAAACTCCTTGTTAAGGAGTCTTTGAACTACAAGAGGAATCACCTTAAAGACAAAGTTCTTTAAGACATCAGCTGCAAATACTGACACTTCATTTTTGGGCTTTTGGCCTTGTGGATGAATGCTCTGCCATCCCAAGCCACACAGGCTCCTGCCTGGCTCCTGGGCTTGTGCTAAACACACCAGTACATTGCACAACCCTTAATCTTGATCATTTTATGTGATTCTAGGCTGAAGCTACAGGCTGGGGTGAAGAAGAGGAGTTGAACTGGGAAGATGATACAAACTGGTAACAGTTCTGAAGGAGACCAAGGCGATTTCTGGTGTGTTGGATCCTGTGACAGGAGCTGCTGCTTCCCCAGTGCAATGGCTAAAGTACCTCAGTGCTGCTTTTGCCACAAGGCAGGCACTTGCTGCACAGCCACAAGAGCCTGTGGGGCCTGAGCTCTTGCAGGGATGCTCCTTCCCAGTCTGTGCCAAAAGCTGCAGGGGTGAGCCTGCACTCCAGCACTGTGCCCAGCTGTGGTGCTGTCACTGCTCCCAGAGAGGACAGCGTGATGGTGGTGATGGTGCTGACGTGCCACTGGAGGCCAAGAGTGGTGGAGGAGATTGAGCCAGAACTCACCCCTTCCCTGGAAACTGCTGACAATAAATGAAAGTCACACTGAGCTTCTTGGTTAATGTGCCTTTTTCCTTTGGTTTTCCTGTTTGTTTTTTTTCCTTTCCCAGAAAAATAAAGCCCTTAGAAATGGCTCCTTTTAACTTTTCAGCAAAGAGATGATTTTAAGATGAATGTACAGTTTATTCAACTTATTTATTTCTGTTTGTATAGTTCTGTCAATGGATGGCACAAGAGGTGCTAGGAACCATACAGTGAACGACCACAAACTGCTTAAGCACCATGTTCTTTCTGCTCTTAACTGTGACCAATAAAGATTATTTTTAAAGAATCACCCTAGTGTGGAGTACCTGCATGTGACAGGAACAAGGTCACTGCTACTTTTACAACAGATTCAGACCTCTCAGTGTTCAGAATACAATGTTTATCTCCACACAGTAAAAGAACAAGCCATATACAAACCCACAGCTCTGATGTCCAGTAGTGTCCCTCAAACCCATCAGGCATGCAGGAGAGGCTGGCACTGCACCCCTCAGTCCATCCTGGCACACAAACCAAGAGCCAGCAGCTCTGTAGAGCAATGCCCCATGGCACAGCTTTTTCTGCAGCACTCCTGGCACCGAGGCACCTCCTCCCTCCCACCAGGGAGCTGAGCTGGGTCATTGTCCCCCAGCCCTGAGGGCACCTACCTCAGGCTGTCCCTGAGGGTGGCTATAGCTGCGTGCAGAGCCTCCAGCTTCACTGCAAGCCAGCCTGGAGGGGCCCCTTTCTGGAGCAGCAGCTTCACAGCCTCCACTGCTCCCTCCATGGTGCCCACTGCTGCCTTGTACTGCTCCTCAGAGGGCGGGTGACAGGCTCTTTTGGCTACAGGCTGCAGATTTAAGCAAACATGAAACATTGATTTAATACTGTACTTGAGGGATCAGTCTTCATCCAAATGCAAGAAAGCCCTTAGGTGGAACAGAGCTGCAGAGTCCCTTGTCCTGTGAGGGTTCTTGCTGCCTGGCAGGCACTACAGCCCATGAGGATATCATACCAAGGGCCAGGAGTGCATGTGACCTTTCTTAGGACATAGAGGACAGCCAGACCAGCTCAGCTTTTCAGAGACTCCCCAGAGCTGACAAAAATTAACAGTTTAAAGAAGGACACATACCTCTCCTGTTGACTCCAATTCTCCATCCCCTTTCAAAACCTGTGCACTCCAGGTAATCCTTTCTTGCTTCAGGCGTTCTGTCCGTGCTTCTCTTGTCTCTTCCACCTGCCTTGTCTAGGGAGAAAGCCCCAGGAGAGGTGACTAAACCCAGCTTCACAGGCATAATTTATAGGCCAGGACAAAAGGGAGACAGGGAGGGATTTTTATGTGCAGTTCAAAGAATATTATTTCTCACACACTCTTCTGATCAAAGATTGAGGTTATCTCCAACTTTGGGTTAGCATCACTGGCAGCTAGCAGTTCTTTTGTAAATTATCTACTGCCAAAAAGCTGCTCAACCAGAGAGCCCTGCCTCAAGCTGCAGCTGCCCCTCCTTTCCCAGTGCCACTGTTCTGCAGCAACAGCTATCTGCCCTAAGAGGATTTCTCCTAATATGAGATGTTTCTTTCATACACGTTCATTTAGATTTCAGAAACTGATCCAGCAGAAATAGGGAAGGTAATCAAACCAGATTATCAAATCCTGTCTTTTTAATAGGTAACTTCTTTCAAAAACAACAGTGAAATTTAATAAGTATTTTTTGTTTAAGGATAATAAATGCTTTGCTTTTAAGTTGAAAGTACTGGAGGACCAGTGTGCATAGGAATGGCAGTTGCTAATTCTGCTGATTAAATCAAGTAGAAAAGTTCAACCAGACAGTTTCTTTTAAAGTTACTTCATGTCATGCAAATAATGCAAGTGTAGACCCATGCTGTGTATTGCTGATAGCAGATGTACAGCATCAACTAAGATAGCAGTGAAATGGTTAAACAATATACATACCTTAGCCAGAAAATTAACAACTTGGTTCTTAGCTTCTTCAGAATTAAGGCACCAAGGAACAACATCTTCATGTCTTGTTTCCTGTCAAAAATGTTATTGGTTGTTCAGTACGTTCATGCTAACAAGGGAACAAAATAGATGTCTCTGTGACAGTCCCTGCCTCTTGCAACCAATCTAAGCAACCAGTGCCCAATCCTCCTTCACTTCCAGCTCCTGAAATCTCTTCCAGCTGCACAGCCCTCAGTACTTGCAGTGTGCAACAGCTGTAACTCAGATCCAGATTGTGCAGTGAGGAGCAGCAAACATTTGAGACAGGAGAATTTGTGTACAACAGAAGTTAACAGAACCAATGCCTGCACCCAGAGCTGTGCTCTGCTCACCTCTGCAAAATGTGTGAATGCCTCCAGTGCGTGCTGGTGAATCAGCCAGGTCTGGTCAGCCAGCAGAGAGGCAAACAGAGAGGACAGCTGGGGCACAACCTGCCTCTGCAACAGGAACAGACAGCCATCAGCTCCCAAGAGTTACTTGTGCATATCTCACCACCATGATTTATTATTAAAGACTTGCTCTGAGGGACAGGTTTGGGAAATGCAAGAGTGCTACTATCTGGCTAAAGAACCACTGTGAGGGAGGTGACATTCTAGTCTCACTTCTTGTTACTTCTCACCAGTGAGAAAGGACTGGCATTTGAACCTCCAAGCATCTTTCATGCACTCAGCACACCTTGATGAAAAATAAACCTGCTGCAGACCATTAATCCCAGACAACTATCCTGGCATTCCTGTATCTATTTAATGAACCTGATCCCTTAACTGTATATTTAAATGAAAGTATTTTTATCAAAAGACAAGGCCATTTCACTAAGGCCACAATCCCATTTACCTGTGCTTCTTGTGGAATAAACACCTTTCCCATGGAAGACAGGAAATCCACCACTGCTAGCCGGACATGATCTGGGGGATGCAGCTGGAGCAGGGATGACTGCAGTGCAAACACCTGCAGGACACAAACCCCAGCAAACCCCATCAGACAGACTGCAGGGGACAACTGTGCAGGCCCATTTTTAAACCCAAACACATGGAGTTTAGAAACCTGAGGGAGGTATGCTGCAACTCCAGTAAAACTGGCCAGGATAAAGCTGCAAGGTGTATTTTAGAAAGAAATGAGCATGATCTCTATCACATTTCCTTACATCTTAATTATCTTACAGAGGAAAGGGATTCTCAAAAGCAGTGTTAACCAAAATGCCATGTGCTTGGTTTAAAGGCCAGGAAAGTAATCAAAAAGATTATTTCCTTCTTAAGAGAAGGCCAGACCATGAAATAACTCATTTGAGATTTCAACAAATCACAAAAAACTTGGTTTTCATGTAGTGAATTATTAATAAGGTGGTGTTAGGAATTTTTTTTTACCTGGGTCATCAGTTGAGCATCTAATGCTTGGATGAAAAATTCCAAAAGGTGAAGCAATAAACACAGTGTCTTCTGGAGACATGGCTCATCTGAGACCTTAAAGAGAGCACAAGATATCAGCAACACTGCATTTTAGCTCATGGAATAACTACTTCAGAGAGAATGTCAAGTTACAGTGGCTTTTCAAAATTGTTGACTTCAAACATGTAAAACACTGCATTGTAAGCAGAAAAGAAAATATTGAAATATTCATATCAGTATTTCTAGGTAGTCATATTTTATGAGACCATTTTCTTTGATTTTTGTGATGAACATTTCCTAACCCTCCTCTCCTTCCATCACTCACTAAAATAAGCACCTCAAGGTTATCTGAACTATTTCTTTTCACTTTCAGTTGCCAAATGTCCTCACAGAATGGCTGAGGTTTGAAAAGACCTCTGAAGGGGCACATTGTTGGCTTTTCACTCCCACTCTCAAACTTTCTTTTTTAATCTGGAGCATGAAAATCCTGACAATCCTTTTTTCCTTCATTTGTGCAGCTGCAGCCATGAACAGGTACATGGTCACAAGGACACTGCCTGACCACCTTGGGAGGAGGGTGATTGGCCCTGTGTGTCTCCATGTGCTGGGCTGTGCTCTAATCAAATCACCCAGAGTTTTGGTCACATTCTGATGAATATTTAAAATACACCAAATTTGTAACGGGTATGAAGCAAACTCAGGTATTTCAGGCTTCTACCTTGAGCAAGTCTGAATGTGACACTGAGTAACAGATGGAGTAACAAGGAACCATATATGTAACATTCAGGAAATTCAAACTCAAGCTTCCCAGAGCTCATGCCTGCCCCACAGATAACACAGCTGAGAGCAGATGGGCAGCACTGGTACACTCTGCTTTACTGAAACAGTCCAATCCAAGTCAAACCAATGAGTAACAACAACCTGGGCAAACAGCAGCAAGACATGCTTTCACTGCTGGAGCACCAAACTCTCTTACCTGCTTAGCCTGGAGAAAAGACCAGAACTGACTGAGCACTCCCAAGACAGATGTCCTAAGTTCTGCCTCCAGAGTGGCATCAGCAGAACTGCAGGCAGCCAGCAGGACAGAAAGGGCAGTGTTCTAGGAGGAAAATACATGTAAGACCAAGAAAAACACATTACATGTAAACCAACCCAACACCCCAGGCTCATATGAAACATCTAAATTGATACAAGGTGGCAAGAAGCCCAATGTGCTGCCTCAGCTGTACAGAACAGCTAATCCAGCAGGAGAGCAGCCAATAAAGATTCCAGAGCTGGGAAACCATCCATTCTCCTGTGAGTTTCACACACACTGCAGGTCATCTGTTGCACTGGCAGCAGACACTTCATGTGGAAACCTCTGGTTTCTCACATTCCCTCATCAAAGAGACCAGTGAGCATCTTTCAGATTTGATGCTGCTGCATGAAACCAGCCAGAACATTAAAACTGAAGAGGAATTGTATGCTAAGGTGCAGCATAAATGAGAAATTCTGAAGAAAAATACATCTGCTCAGCTAGAGAGCAAACAACAACCAGAATAACTAGAGAATCACAGAACCTCCACTGGCACAGCAGAGGCCCTAAGGTGCTGCATACTGCAAGACAACATTAAAATGAGAGCTCTTGCTTACACATATGCCAGCTAGGATGGCAAAAAGCTGTGCGACAGCCTGAATAACAGAACTGAGGTGACAGCAACAGAACCCTTGTAGTCTGAAAAATTGGAGTTCATTCCTTTTTCCAGAGAGAAGCAGATCTCCTTACCACAGGAGGGAGCCCTCCCAAGGCGCGGCCGCTGTTCAGCCACTGCCGGCAGCGCGCCAGCCCTGCCCTGCACAGCTGAGACGCCACTCGTGCCCTAAGGTCGGGATTCAGGGCTCTGAGGGACACGTGCTGCCACACAGCCAAGCTCTCCACCTCTTCAGGAGGAAATTCACGAGCAAATTCTACCTGGAAACAAAAGGTAATAGAGTCTAAACAGACCAGAAAACAATTTGATAGCCTGGAAGATGAGAAACCAGAATGCGCTGCTGGTTTGCTTCAGATTTATTGTGTGAAACAATTTGTGTAAAGTATTTCAATAAAATCCATCTTTTTATATGAAAAATGTTTAGAAACTACCACCTCCCTTGTCCCATACAGGACATCAGAATGATTAAGCAACTGATTCTTTCAGCTGCTTGAAGCAATGCCTAGTGAGTAGAAGAGAGGGCTTCAGCCCCTCCAGGGTACACAGAGAGGCACTGACAGGACAGGACACTCCTCTTGACACCTGATGTCACCAGAACACTCTCATCAGTCACAGATGCAATGACTGGACACAGTTTCAGCCAATCTGGGGAGATGTGCTGTTCCCATGCTTTATCAAAAAAAAAAAGACTTCATTGCTACCCAGCAATGTGCTTTTTCTTAGAAAGGTCAATGTGCTTTTCTTGTTTGAAAGAGCACCCCTGCACAAAGTGGGACCCACAATAAGTGATAACTTAGTGACTTAATGACTTAGACTAAGCAATAACACGTACAATAACAAGTGCAGCAAGTGAGCACTCAACATCTTGTCACTTCTCCAGAACTGAGAGGGAATATTTGAACACAGGGCACTGATTCAAATCTCTTCTACTGACAAGAGCAGATGCTGGTGCTGCACTTGCCTGATGCTCTGGAGCCATGAGGAACAGCATCCGCCTCAGCAGCACAGCCAGGGCAGGGAGCTGGCAGCAGTCACTGGGCCAAGCCTTTACCTGCATCAGGATAAAAGGGTAATGACCTCATCACTGAGGGAAAAATCCCCACTGAGCAAACAAATTCTGTACAGGATATTCTGAGAGTTGCTATCTGGGATCACAGCAGTAATACTGTAAATAAAATAAGCAGGGCATATTGGCTTGTATTTTCACTGTACTGCTTCTGCTAATTACTAAGCCAGTTTGAAGAATTCAAATCTCCATTTGAATCTTTGTTGGTAGCACTCAGATTAAAACTGGTGCCAAACTGCAAACATCACTGAGGTTCTTACCAAGTGGGCAATCACATTAACGTGGTGAGCACACAGCTCAGCTGTTCCATACCTGAAACATGAGAGACAGCAGCTTGAGAATCTGGACTTCCTACTCTTCTACAGACTAAATATCATAAATCTGGTCTGAGAAATTGCAATTTCCTTTAACATATTGAAACTTGATTTGCAGAAACACAATTTACTTGAGACAACCATTTCAAAAATCAGTTATTAAAGAGAGAAGTTATGTTCCTCTTGCTTGCAAGAACATAAAAATGGCTATGCTATTTCTACTCCTAATTTTCAAAATATGTTCTGTATCTGAAAATAATCCAGTTCTGGGACAATTCTGTCTTATAAAAATCTCTCTCAAGCAAACTGCAAGTTATATACAATGACAGAATGAACTGGATCTGTGGAAAGCCTGCTTGACTTGTTCTAGGAGCATCTTACCGGGCAAGGAAGCACCAGGAGTCCATTGCTAGCAGGGATGTGATCATACTGGGACCCAGCACAGCTTCCAGCAGGGCACGCTCCTGAGGAGAAACAGGAACATTATCACAACCTGAACACCACAGAAAAGAAAGCACTGAACTTTTATAACTACCTGACCTTCCCTAGTCTGATAGATAATAAAAATTGCCAAGACCACTGAGGTCCTCAAGAACTTTTTTTTCCCCTTTCCCAAAAGTGGCATTTGCTGTGTAACTGAACTCCAGCCATGCAACTGTGCCACAGCTGATTTCTGCAGAACTGCCTCTGAGATGTTCTCTCTGAGCATCACTTCAGAGCCACATCATTAGGAAGAACCCATTCCTTTTAAGTAGCAGCTATGCACCACAAGAGCTGAAGAATTGATAAGCAAAACCCAATCTTACCAGCTGAGGGAAGTGTGATGGGAGTGTGGAAGCAATGAAGGAGCACAGGTGGACACAGACATAGTGATAGAGGGTGATGGGAACTGCTGGCTGTCCTGTACTGACCACCTCTGGCACACAGACAGGGAGGGAAAGCTCCCCACAACATTGCTGGAAACTGAGGAAGAGAGCTGAAAACAAAGACAGGCTGCAAGGGGAAAAGGAAAAAAAAAATCAAAAAAGAGAACAGTTTGGTTGCAGATATGTAATTCCCAAATCCTGCAAGCAACATTGGTATTACAAAATCTTTGTCTTCAGACAGAAAAGATAGCAGTAATTCAGTGTTTTACACCAGATTTATGTTGCTGACTGCCTTCCTCTTTTACCAATTCAGGTGATAATTAGAGGGTTCAGGCATAAAAGTGTGAGATTTTAACTTAGTGAAGTATCAACAAATTACATTCAGAGCCTTATTCCTACCCTACAAGCACTCTAAAAACCACTCCTTCTCCAAAAAAACAAAGCCATCTCTGTCTCTGTATCCTTCACTCCTGAGGCAATGAACATCAGATCCTGTTAGTCTTGGCATAAGGATGGAAATCCACAGTGACAATTTTCCAACTTCAGTTGCAAAGGAAGCTCCAGCAGCTGAGCCCTTTTGTTTGCCTGTTTGACTGCTGTGGTGAAAAGCCACTACAAAAACCTTTTCAGTACCTTTTTCCTGTGTTCCAGAGAGTTTGCACTTCTTCTGGCTGAGAGGACAGCTTGTCCATTATGGTAAGCAGGAGGAGACACTGGGGCAGCTGCTGCTCAGGAGGGAGATCTGTAGAAGTTTGGGTTTCAAATGTGAATTAAGTTGCCTGGATTTATTTACTGTGTGTGTAAACTAGCTTTTAAGCAAGTGTAGAGGCAAACTGATGAGCTTTGTGAGATGTTGGTCAGGGCAGAAATCAAGGAGAAGAGCTTGTTGAAACAAAAAGCTAATATTTTCCCAGGCATGCTACTTTTCACAGAAAATATTTACTTTATGAAAAAAAAAAAGCTGTCTTCCTCTACCAATAGAACAGCAGAAAAAAAATCTGTCTTACTTTTGAAAGTTTGTGGCAAATGTGGATTGAAATTATGCAAAAGAGCAGGATTGACAGGATTTCTGTTAATCAGATTAACAGTGCAGTTGCTATGAGTGCTTTGGAAAAGATGAGTCCAGCACCAACATAAACTATCTGTTTATGTATATTTTATGTATATTTTATAATCCATCCAAGCTAGCAGGCAATCAGCTCTATCACAGCACTTACAGAAGAACCAGAGACAAGCAAGTGAGTCACAGAATATTATGGTCCAGAAAGCCAAAATGTCAATGCTGACCCCTCAGACAGCACTGGGATTGTACTTTAGACTCACCTAAATTTTCACTTAACACTTGTTCCATGAAAGGGCTAAAGGGAAGGAGCTGGGTGATGAGAGGGTCCAGAGCCACAAGAAAAACCTGGGATATTTCATCTTGATGAGCTTCCAAGATCTCTGGAGCATAAAGACTGGGAGGAAATTTGCTGAGGGGAAATGGAAAAAAAAAAAGTTAAATATTCTCAGTAGCATTTTCAGCAATACTACTTTTTGAAATTGGTTTTTTCCAAAAGAACTATAAAAAGCCAAATTCATTATTTCCTTGTTCCTGTGAAATAAAAGACAGAAAAGGCTCCCCATTTTAGAATATCTGTTATAGCCCAAGAGTTACAACTCTGCATCTAGCCTTTAAAATAAGCATCACAATCCAATATTTTACTAAACATTTAAAGAAAACCTTACACACAGAAAAGGTGTGTAAAATACATAACATCTCTCAGAAGAAACATATCAGATCACAAAGAGTCAAGTGAAAGGGAAAAGCCAAGAAAATGTCTTTATACACAATTTTACAGCCATAAATATCACAGCACTACATTAACACATGACCCTAAAAGGGTATCACAGTTTCTCTGAAGAGGAAAAAAACACCTTGGGCAATAAAAGAAAAAAAGAACCAATATGAGAATAGAGCAAGAGATCATGAAATGAAAACCTTCTACTCTTGCAGCTTATGAACTGTAAAAATGCTACTTTCCTACTCAAAAATCCCACTCAGTTTCCCTGAGTGAATAAAAATTTACAACCTTCCACTTGAGAAAAACCTACAAGGGGAGTAAATTTAGAAGAAGAAACTCATTAAAAAATATCCACCCAATCTTGCAGTGGAGCATTGCAGTGAACTCAAGTGCACAGCTCACCACAGTGCCTGGTGTGAATTCCCACAAAGGAAAGGGCAGAAATCAGCCCTCTGATTTCATGGAATGAGCAATTATTAATATAAAGTCTGGGTTCTCTTATGCTTCCCCAGCACTGCAGAAACCAAACTTTTTGAAAGCAAAGTGATAAACCACTTGCAGACATTGATAAGTGTAGTATTGTAAGAGCATCTGCTTCCAGGAAAACCAGAGTCCTTCTGTGAGATTCCACAAAATTATTAACAAACAGCAAAGTTATGAAAAATTTCAGAACATTCTGTTTCTGATCCCTCTTTCTCCAGGACAAATTTTTACAAAGTTTGTCTTAAAGTAGAAATAATCTGTCAAAAAGCACTGCTGACACCTGCCTTTAGTTGTAGAAATTTTTTTTCTGCATATCCTACACATAATTTGTTAATGAATCTTGCATAAATAGTTGCAATGAAGTTAATGGTTTGTCATTATGGGACATGCAGAGTATTGATCACGAATGGGGTTTAAGGTAACTATAAAAGACTAAACCACTTAATTTATTAAAAATATTTTAGCTTTTTGTACATGAAAAAGAATGTAACAACTCTGGAATGAGAAGTGCATTTTTACATCTCAAAATATTTGTAAGTTAAGAACGCAATATTGAAATGCCATTAAGATACTATCAATAATCAATTATTTGTACTTCACATACCTGTATATCTGAAGAAAGAGCTGATGCAACTGAGAACAGGAATCAGAGAGGCAGGCACGAAATTCCTGCAAAAGTCATCAATTTTGAGTGGTACTTTTAAAATAAAATCCATTATTAATTACGTGAATTACTGCACATCTCCTACCAACTCCTCAGTGCCACTGCATGAAACAACCTGTTCCAGTTTATTTTTCTGGAAAATCCCAGCACTAACCCTGCACAGGCTTGTGAGTATTTACAGGTAGAAGAACTAAAGCAGGTTATGCATGGATTTTAATTATACTGCCCATATGGGATAGCTGTAAATCATTAAGATATAACAAAATTATTCCATTTGCAGACCAGAGGCTTAAATTTAATGCTAACATAGAATTGAAATATTAAAAGCTACCTTGGTGTAGTGTACAAGGGAGTTAGCAAAGAACCTGCACAGTTTCACTGTCTTCTGGAACAGCCTGAAGTCAGTGCCCTCCTGTCCAAAAGAAGCAGTTCAAAAGTTGAATTACTACAGAGTAAAATAGGAATTTAGATTGCTAACAATGTTCAAAACCTATTTCACATTTTATTCTCCACAGACTCTAAAGCTAAGGGGGGGAAAACTTTAAATATATTCAGTATGTATGCCTCAGCACTTTCACAGAAATATTAAGGATCTGCCTGACCTTGGGATATTGTCAGTTTAAGAAATAAAAAAAATTCTCACATAGTGTCTCACTAAAACATCCTCAATCTACACAACGATGTGGGCCTTATTTTCATGTGGCTTCAAAGGTATTGTGTCATGAAATAAAGAAAACCCCAAAAAAACCAAAAAAATTACTCCAAGCAATAATACAGTACAAATAATTTCTCCTCCTCGGGTTCACTGGCAGCTTTGGGAGCTTTTTTACTCACCTGTATCTCTGACACCTTCATTTGCTCAGCCAGCTGCAAACAGGAGTCAAAAGAAAGAAGAATGTCCTTGCACAGGCCATTGAGGATGTCACTGTGCTTCAGGTGGCACTGCAGCAGGGAGTGATGCTTCAGGCTTTGCCTGAAAGACAGGAATATAACCAGGTACTTGATTGTCAGAAGTGATTGTGCAATGAGCTCTTACAAATCCAAATAACTAATTCCTCTATGTAGCCTTTTACACAGCAGTGATTGGTGCAATATCCATGAACACTGAAAGCAGAAGCTCAGAGAGAACAACCCTCTCCATGGCTGAAACCCAGGGCAGAGGCAGGATGGAAGTTTGAGACAGCCAGCTCAAGCCAAAAACATCCACAGACCTGCAGCTCAGACCTCTTAATGCTCCTCACTCAGACAACAGTGCTGCAAATTTTCTTCTGCATTGCAGTACAGAAAGTCAAATTTCTACTGCTTTTCATACCAATTCCTACCTACTTTCACTGGCAGTGCTTTAATAATACCTCCTAGCTAAATTTCTAAATTTCCTTACTAAATAGCTTTACTTGAATTCTCTCATTTTAATTGTATTAGAAACTCTGAGCACAAAGCAAATGAGACATTCATTATTAAAACTACACCACAATAAAACCCAAAGAGTTCAGCTACATACTTGATTATGAACTTCCACGTGTTGGCATGAAGAGCATGGTCCATATTGGAAATGACAGAGCAGATCTCCAGCACACTGTGGATTACTAAGGAAATAACAGCAGCAGCAACAGAGTTAAATCAGATTTATGAGCTCACAGCAATCCCAAGAGAATACTGAGAGAACACCAGCACACTGACATGAATTAGGAAAATGGCTCAGTTTTTAGGTGCTGCCCCTTTCCTACAAATCTAAACAACATTCCTACAGCTTCAGGAGAAAAATGGAAACATTTCTGGTTCAAAATGCTTCTTTCTGAAAAGCTGGTCAGGACAGCAGGAACTGAGCACACTCAGAAACCTGTTTTAAAGTTTCAAACATACTCTCTAAAGAAAAAAAAGACTGAGCAAGATTAAAGTATCAAATCCATGCATACCTGACACCATATATGTGATGTCATCTTCAGTGGAAGCAGAGCCCATGGAAATCAGATCAACCAGTTCCATCAGCTGTTTCTGAAGGGAGTAAGTTTCCTTGAACATGGATTGTAGGAGGTCAGAAATTAAGTGCAGGTGCCCATAGTACACTGATTCACTGTCCTGAAATGGGGAGGAAGAGGTTGTAAAACAGCTCAGGACTCACAGTTTTTCACATGCAGAAAACACCAAGGGCTTTTGCTATACATTTCTCTGGAAAAAAAGAACAAGGCACAGATGTACCTACTTTAACTCAGTAGACAGCCCCTGAGCACTCAGTGTAAAATATGTTCACCTGCAGCTCGTGGGAAACTAACAAGGTCTGGCATGCCCTTGTGAGTTTAGGGGGCTTTGGATGAGGCCTCCATGCATGAACCTGAGATCATATTTCTGAACCAAACAGGGCAAGGTCAGCAGCAAAGGAAGTAGCATGCCAAGACTTCCCAATACTTTCAAATTAGAATTACTAGATAAAGATATGGCACCTGAGTTTGAGTCCTGACATGGAAAACTGATGTAAATGTTCCCATAAGAAAGAAATATTAAAAGTGAAGATGAAAGGCAACAAAAAGTTAGTGTGTCCTTACGATAATCTTGTTTTATTTTCAATGCTTAGAGGGAATTACTGTTACACCTGAAAATCCAGATCAGTCCATATCTGAAACTGATACACGCTGCTCACTGTAACCAACACAAAGCTGCTAATCTCAACTTCCAATCCACTCTGGAACTTGCCATTTGTAGCTCTGTAAATATTGTAGCCATCAGGACTGCACAGATCCCTCACAGCACTCTGCTCCTGAGCAGAATGTTCAGTTAACACTGATGCAAAGGATGGAAATAGCCCAGTCTGAGCCTCTCACCAGCAGGTCAGATTTGCTGGGCAGACAGCTGAAAAATCACCTTTGTACTTGTGCACAAAAGTGCATTCTGAAAACAACTTAACAACTAAAATTAAAAGAATAATACTTTAATGTGGTATTCACATTCTCTGAACAGAGAGAGCCATAATTCTCTCTCCCAGGATTTTTCCTGGGGAAGCCAGTGAGAACCTCAGAGAAGAAGAGAAAACAATTCTTTCTCTATTCACTACTCCTGTTGTTTGGCACATGTGGAATGTGTTATGGAGATTTTTTACCCAAAGTGATTTGTTAATTGGACATCGATAAAGGTTGTTTGGATTGCTTGGCCAGTTGGGTCAAAACTGTGTCCTGGTTGGTGCAGACAGTCACAGGTTTTTCTTTAGTATCTCTTTTAATATAGTATTCTTTAGTATGTAACTTAGTATAATAGTAATATAATATAGCATAGCTTAATAAAACAGTTAGTCAACATTCTGAATCATGGAGTCAGAGCACATTATTCCCCACACTGGGGTCACCCTACAACCATACTCCAACAACAGTACGATTTCAAAATAAGACCACCTTGTGAAGTGTCTCCCCAAAGCCGAGGAGCAGCAGGAGCTGTGTGCTCCCTACCTTGCAGTGTGTGAAGGTGCCCTTCAGCACGCAGAGGACGGAGGCAGGCAGGGAGCGGACGCTGCGCAGGGACAGCTCCTGCGCCGAGCACACGCAGCGCACGCAGCCCGTCAGCGTCTCCAGCAGCTGCACCAGCGCCTGGGAGCAACACCCAACAACGTCAGGCACTCCTGCAAGGCCTCCAAAAGCATCTTGGCTTAGCTCAAATACACCTGGAATTTCATGGCATTTCTGAAGGGAGTAAGTTTCCTTGAACATGGATTGTAGGAGGTCAGAAATTAAGTGCAGGTGCCCATTGCGACTTGCGTAAATAAGGAGTTTGTAAAAGGTGAATGAAGCTCCACAGCTTTTCTCCATTACCATATCCTCTATGATAACTCCTTATTTCTTCCACTATTGTTCTCAATTTACAAAAATGTTAACATTCAGAATGAAGTATAAACAGGGACCAGGTTTTTTAAATATGGGGAGTCACATTCCATCTGCAGGAGGGACTTGGAGCAGAATTTGAGATGATTTTTAAAAATTATTGTTAGCATCCCATGCTAGATGTAATCAAATAATTTACAAAATTTTAATTGAACTTCAACTACAAAGGAAGATTAAATCACATTTTAACCACCAGTAGCTGGCAAAAACCATTCTAAAAGCCTTTTAGTAGTTTAGGTAAAAGCAAAGAGTGATGTAAACATTATTTTGACAGCTTATGTGATGGGACTTGCCTGTAGCAGATTCCTCACAGTGCTGCATGACTCTGTACTCTGGCTGGTCAGTCCTTTGGCCTTGCTGGATAATTCACACATCAAGCTGTCAAAGAACTGCAGAGTCTGGCAGAACACAACAAAACCAAAACATTTTACTTACAAATGTACACATAATAATAAGATTAAACAAAAAATAACAAATAATAATGCCATTCTATACCTACTTGATGCCTTGGCAGGGAGGCACAGAGAACTTAGAGCAGAAAACACTTTCCAGCATTTCAGTCAAAAAGCATGATATAACAAGAAGCAATAAACTATTTTTATTTATATATTTATATATATATATATATATAATAGACAGAAGATATTGTAGCTGTTAATTTTTCTAAGATCTGTTGCTAAAACAAGCTTCACACCTAATGTGCTTGAAATATATAATTCATTAATAATATATTTCATATATATTATTATATATAAAAAATAATACTATATATTATTGAATATTATTTATTAAATATATTATATTATTCTACCAAACATTTTTTATTCAGTTAAAGCCACATAATTTAAAAAATACTTTCATTTTGTCTCATAAAAAATACTTGTTTGTTGAGAATGATGATTAACATTTTGAATACATTAAAAAAAAGTTTGTGTTATACAGACAACATCTATTTCTACCTTAGTTGAGGTTTTTGGATGAGTGTTACTTTTGAGACTGCAAAGACAGTGAGGCACATGCAGGATAAACAGTGGTACAGTGATCCTTTTTCAGGATATGCCTATTATGAGACAATTTTCTTGTAATCTCCAAAAATTTGTTACTTGACAAAAAATAAGAGGAAAATCAAGTGGCCATTTTTACTGGCTTCTTAAAATGGACAAGATGAGTCTTGAAGTTTAAATCAGTTTCTGAGTCAGAAACCTAAATTACTGCTTGGCACCTCTTTACTTCACTTAAAATGCAAGCACTGATTTTAATATACCTATGGCACAAAAATCTCCATTGTTTAATCAAAAAGAAAACATGTGTGAGGTCAGTATGGTCTAGAAGATTATTCACTATATAAATTCACAAATTTCACAACATTAATTTGTGATATGGGAGTGTTGAGCTCTTCAGCTGACTTGTCCTGAGAAGTTCTCTCACTTAAAAATTCTCCACCTTGGTCATTTTATAAAAAGCCCAATCTCCTCAGAAAGAAATACAATCCAAGTCTGTTGCTGAATACAGAAAGCAGAACATTGTATATTTGATTCTGTCCCTACTGTAAAGAATGAGAACAATCACAGAAACAATTCAACACAACACTGAAAACTCTAAACGAGTAAATTTCAATTTTTGTATCCCATAGATATTGTGCAACCCCAAAAGAAGAATCACTGCAGTCTAAGCAGGTTCTAAAACTGGACTGACAGACAATTCCACAGTTAACAGAAGCTGTCCTACCTTAGGTAATACCTTTGAGAAAAAAATTTCTTCCACATCTTCAAGGCTGATATGTGGCAAAAACATTTCAGTCAGGATCCTCAGAATACCTGCAAAGAAAAACATCTACAATGTGTAATTCTCAGAAATATACAGCAACATACCAGAGGAAATAAAGAACAGCAGAAAGCAAAACCAAATCAGGTGATTTTGAGACAGGCAACAGAGCATTTGCCTTATGTGAAATGCATGAAAACACACACATATTACCTGAAAAATCAAGTAACTAACAGCTCCAACATACACAAACCCATCAGAAATAGCAGCACATCTGACTAAACTTAGTGGAAGGCTGGGCACAACTGCCAGCCTACAGATCCAGTATTTGCCCCATTCAAAATTGCAAATAGCAGCACATTTTACAATGCAACATAATATCCAATGTAACAGTTTTAGCAACACTCATAAACAGTTACATATAAGCCTATTTTTCTTTAAACTATTAGCTTTGTCACCCGGAAGATAACAACTCAAAAGACAGTAAAACACCAGATAAAGGACACCCTTTTTTTTGTGCATTTAAAGATCAGAAGCAGCAGAAAGGAAAAAGCAGCCTTAGATGCAGTTTGTAAAGGGGCATTTATAAACGTGCAGTTAGTGGAGTGTGCAAAGAAGGTCCAGCAGGATTGCTGAAGACTCTGAAAAGTTGTAGCAGAAGTATTTTAAGCACTGCAGCGCTTTTAATTTTAATACAATTGCAATACAGGGCTCCACAGGAAGAGGCACGTCTTAGCCATTACTTACGAATATGCTCAGTCCAGTCCTCAGACTCTTCATACATTGAGTAAAAACGTTAAAGAAAATCAAACTTGTTCTGCTGTAAAGGCTATTTTTAAAGCACCTGCAGAAGCCACAGTGACTTCTATCGCGGTCTCACGTTCGCATGAAATTGGTGGGGATGCTCCACAGCAAAGTAGGCTGATAGCCCGGAGTACCCATAGGATCAACAAAGTATTTCCACAGTGTATTAGAGAGTAAGTCTTGACGGGTTGGCTTGTTGGGGTTTTTTTCGGTGGTGTGTGCTTTGGGGTTTTTTTAGGGGGTTGGGCTTTGGGGGGGGGGGAGGTGACAGATGTGTCGGGGATTATCTACAGTCTAAATGTACAGGCGATGTTCTAGATTCTATGAATCTTTTATTCCAGAGAAAAGCTGTACCCGTCTCCAGCGAAACTCCCGGCACCCGGCCCCTCACAGAGGTCCCGCCGCTCTCCCTCACACACATTCGGTGGAACCCCGAAGGATGCACACACCCCCCTCCAGTGCCTTTCCCACAGCCAGCCCAGAGCCCTGCTGGGAAGGATATCAGGAGGCGGGGCAGCACGGCGGGCAGCTCCCGGCGGCAGAGCTCCCAGTCCCAGCCGCCCAGCTCCCGCAGCAGCAGCTCGGGGTCCGCCTGGGACATGGCGGCGGCGCTCGCCGCCCTCAGCGCGGGGCGGCGGCGGGAAAGGCGCCCGCGCTCCCACAAGGCCCCGCGCCCGAGGAAGCGGAAGCGGCTCCGCGCGGGAGCGGCGGGAATGGCCCGGAGCGGCGGCCGCGGTGGGTGCGGGCTGGGCGCGGGAGAACGGGCCGGGAAACGCGCCCGGAGCGCCTCAGCCGGCCCGCGCGGTGGGTTCGCGGCTCTTGCCACGCGGAGTCTGAAATGCGGGTTTTAGCAGAGCTGGCAGCTGTCTTAATTCCCTTGCCTGTACCTATGGGGTTAGCTGTGACGCTGTGTTTTAATCACTTTAAGTGGTTTTAAATTTACAGAATAGTTAGGGGTGGAAGGGAGCTCTGGAAATCATCCGGTCCAAGGCAGCGTGCCCAGAGCTGGTGACACAGCCACGCGACCAGGTGGATTTGGGATGTTTCCAGAGAGGGAGACTCCACGACTTGCCGGGGGAACATGGCAGTGAAAATCAAGATTCTACAACTAGACGGTTTGTGCTGATATTAATGATACATAAAACTATTTACTCTTATTTCCAGCAGCAAGCCACCTGGCTCTTGGCGAGACATCTGACATTGCACCAGTGAAATACTCAGTCCTGCAACAATACCTACATAAAAGCTTGGCTGTAATAAATTAAGCTTTTAAAAAACTCTCATTCCTGAAAATGGATTTTCGATTTGATTTTGCTGTTGATGAAAATGAGAACAGTGAGGCAGATGCTCAGTTCTTAGTGCTGTGCTCTCCAGAGCACAAGCAGGAATCCAGGGAAAAGAGCAGGGGAACTGCTGATCTCGCAGCAAAGTCCAGCCCGAAGCTGGCTGCTGCTCAGCACCAGGATGAGGCAGCTTTGAAGAAAAACCTCTGTGTGAAAGCTGCCAAGGAGCACAGCATTCCCCGAGATCTCAACAAATTATTGGAAAATAAAGTCATGGAAACAGTGTTGGACCTGTCTTCTGTAAAGCTGTCTGTAGTGGAAATGACGTGTTCAGGTGACGCTGACAGCGAAGGCATCGTGTCCAAAAGTGTTTCTTCTCACTCTGATCTCATCCCAGGAGTCTACGAAGGAGGGCTGAAAATCTGGGAGTGCACCTTTGATCTTGTGGACTACTTTTCTGAGGCTGAAATAGAATTTACCAACAAGACTGTATTGGATCTTGGCTGTGGGGCTGGATTGTTGGGAATTGTTGCTTTACAGGGTGAAGCTGCCAGAGTCCATTTTCAGGACTACAACAGCACGGTGATCGATGAAATAACCTTGCCTAATGTGGTGGCCAACTGTACCAGTGAAGGCAGGAGGATGGGCAGTGGGAAGGACAGAAAAGCCAGCAAGCCTCCTTCAAAGAGACCCAGGAAAGCAGAGGGATCACCTGATGTGCTCAAGAGATGCAGATTTTTTTCTGGAGAGTGGTCTCAAGTCAGCCAGCTCCTGTTAAACAGCAAACCCTGTTTGAAGTATGATTTAATTCTCACCTCTGAGACCATCTATAACCCTGACTACTACAGTGCTTTGCATGATACACTGGCTCAGCTCCTGGACAGAAATGGCCGTGTGTATTTGGCAAGCAAAGTGCATTATTTTGGAGTTGGTGGTGGTACCTATCTCTTTGAGAAATTCATTGAAGACAAAAAAGTGTTTAAAACCAGGATGGTTAAAACAATCGATCAGGGTCTGCAGCGATGCATTATGGAAATTACCTTTAAAAATTCCTGTTAAAATTAAACTACTGATCTTCCAAAAATAGCTCAAAAATGTTTTAATCCTCATGTCTCTTTGCTTTTTCCTCTGTTATTCTGGTTTAACAAATTAAGGGTGGTGGTTGTTGAAATGTTTGACAAATTCTGGTGTTTGACCAGAAGTGAGGGACTTCTCTGATGTTGAATTTGCAGAGTTCTGCTTAAAGCAGCATCTGTTTATAATTCATTTATATACAAAGATTAAGCAAGTCATTGTCTCCAGCCAGGCTTTCACATTCTCTGTCAGCAGCAGAACCAGCATCACAGGAATGACATACATGACATATTGTGGCTGAATGAGATAAATTTAGCATCCATAATTAGTGCAAGAGGCTTTTTTCTCAAAGGTTGGGCAGCCTAACTGCAGCCAGATTCAGGCAGGGACCACACACCTCAGCTCTGCTGCTTTGCCAGCAGAGGGGGATGTGATTGCATTTATCACTCGTGGGGATCTCAGAAATCCATGTAATGTTTCCATGTGTAATGTACACATGATGTATTCAAGCCCTTTAAAGAGTGTAACAATATTAACTACTGTGGTCTAAATTTTCACATTCAGATTCTGTCACAGGCTAAGAAAATTTCAGCAAGGAATTAGAAAAAGCCATGCTGGTTTAGAAGCTGACTTGAAAGAATATTCTACACAGGATAAGCTCCTACCAACCAACAAGCCTACAAATGAAATACTGGAGGATGATAGGACTGAGCTTTAGCAATTAGAAAAGGAAATAAACTGTGCTATTATGGGAGTTTAATAGATTGCTGTACTATTTTAAACAAGATTTTTCCAGAAATGAATTGCCCCTTTTTCTAAACTTGCTGGGGGTACTACTGAACATCCACACTTCTTCAATCTTTCCAGTTTGGCAGGACAGAAAGCACTCAGAAAAGCCTGCCATTCACTTCCCTAGGCTGAAGACACTGATGTTGCTGAAGAAATCACTGCAGACAAACCCCCAAAGAACTACACAACCTGCCCTTGAGCACTCACTGCTACTGGCAATTCAAACAAGAAAAAAGAAATCCATTGCATGTTTTGTCCTGGCCAAAAGCAGACAGAAAGCTCTTAGACAGCTGTTGTCATCATGCACTGCTTTACAGGTGCCCTTGCAGAAATATAAACTTGGAGACAGTGGCCACTGCTGTAAACTGGATGCAAGGTTCTTCAGTGTAGAGCAGAAGGAAATAGTCTGAGGGGATGGAAAGAAACAGTACAGCAGTGATGTAAATCACTTTAATTATGCCATCAAGTTTCCATCACTGGAGGCTCCAAAAGTCAATCCCAAAGTTCCTATTTTGAACCTGCTGCTATTAAGATAGAGTTGTAAAGGATTTCCTGTACTTCACAGAAGAGCCTTCACTACTGTTTCAGACTGTTTTAAAGGGATGCTTTGGAAACTACTGAATTTAGCCTCTCGTAGGATAGGAGAGGGAGGAAGAAAGTCAATTTTGCCATGACTGTCATGGTGCTTTGGAATTTTTCTGCACTAACTCTGAAACTTAGTGATGGTAACTGATGACTACAGAATGAGGAACAGAAAAAAGTTTTAGCTTTGGCAAATTAAGAAGGTACTGTTAACAGCTTTTTTTTTTCTCTGCCAAAACAGAGATGCTGGAAACAAATGGGTTACATTTGTCATTTTTCAAGCTCAATCCTAAAATAAATCATGACTTGCACTGAATAGGTTGTTCTACACCTGCTGGTCTAGTGAGAACCATACCTCAAGTAACAAGAAATGCTGACCACCATGACAAAGAATATGGTTAGGAACAAGAATCTCATGTAATTTTGGATGAATAAATGAAGAAGGTACTTTAAATCTTCTACTATAGTACTTCTTGATAACAATATTCCACTATTAAACTCACCATCTCTGGTTTAATTACTGTGCCTTCCCTCAGTATTTGGTTCAAACATAGCTGGTTTTGTGCAAGTACAGAATCAGAATTTTTAGACTTCAATGGAAGAATGGCAGAGCCACAATCTTATTTTGACTGCACATCTGCAAAACAAATAACCCCACACAGTATAATTAGCTTCCCATTTCAGAATCTGATTAGAGAATGGAAGATTTTTTTTTCAGGTTAAATCAGCACAATTAGCATTGGGATTTCCATATTTGAGATGAGTTCTGTTCTTAGAATTCAGCAGGTACATGCTGAGAGGAAACAGAATTCAACACTTAGTTTTGTAGGTTGTTGATGTTTCAACTTCAAATAATACTAATTTCCCTCATTTATGTTCAGGCTTGCTGTACCTGAAAAATCCTCACCATCCTAGTGACCAGTATCCTGCTCCTCTTCACAAACTGGAATAGAAGAAAATAATTGTTTCACTCCTTTGCAACACCAGGGAATGACCAGGGAAATTAAACTGCCCCAAATGACACTGCTCTAAAAAAATAACTGAATTGGGAGGTCCCTCAAAGTTTGGGGGTTTTTTTATGACACATTAAAATCTTTCTTCTATGAAGAAATAAAAGTTAGAGATCAGCTGGTAACTAAATTTTTTTTATCAGCTTACTCCAAATCATCACCATTTTTCTCTCCTCACATTTTGAACACGTCATTACAGTAATAGGTCCCGTGTAAATTATGTCTTTCCTGTAAGTATTGTGGAGACAAAGATTAAAATCACTCATTAAATACCTCAGGAAACTAAATTGAAAGGCTTGTTTGTTTTAACACAGCTATCCCTAACTGATGACTTCCATTTGAAGACTATTTGCCAGTTTTGGGAAACGAGGCTATTTAAAACTCAGGATTGTATACTGGCAGCTACAGTTATTTTACTAAAGCTGAGAGGAAGAAGAGCCCTTGACAATGGAACTGGGAAGTGCCTGATTTGCAGGTTACTGACTTGTGTGCTATTCTTGGTTATTAGGCACATAGGCTCTGAAATAAAAATCTTGTTAAGTAAAATCAATCCTGCCATCATTACCACAGTATTTGAAGTGCAGCCAGATAAGCATGGCACAGGAACTCAAAGAGAAGCACAAAGAGCAGATGCAAAAGCAGGCAAGGGTGCTGGAGGGGAAAATCCAGGCTGCAAGTGGGGGGAATCTGGTGCCAACCAAGAGACCTGTAGCACCAGGTTCAGGAGATCCTGTTCTGAGGAGATTATTGGGATGGAGACCCCTGGAACTCTTCTGGTGAGGACTGGACTGAAAGGTTTGAAGATAAGAACAGAAAATTCCTGTCCACCCAACTGAAACAAAGGCACAGAAGGGGGATTTAAGAGGGATCACAACTGTAAGAAGGGAGTAACAGCAGGATTTTTGGTGATAGAAACTGGCTCAAAGTGT